GTATAGGCTCAGCTACTTGTTTCTGGCCAAACTTGGTACTAATACAATGTGTCAATCCCATTTCTTTCTCCTCCAATCAATCAAGAACAATACATCCTGTGAGGGAGGAGACCACTGCTAAAAATGGAGGATACTGAAAAAAGGAAGCAGCAGCAAAAGAAGCATACTGAGCAACTCAAAACACCAGATTTTCTTGTCAAAGACCTCCATAAGGATGTATGTCAACAATACCCAGCAAGCTCCCCAGACTCAGTCCCTCCACAATGCACCAGAGCACTCTTGTTTGGCTGTCTTCATAAATTAGTAAAGAAGGCAAGGCACCAAGAAGCCAGAATGCTTGTGTAGGAAGGTCCTGGGGACATCCTTTTTACGTGGATCAAAGCTTCTCCTTTGATCCAGCAGACTATGAGGAGATGAATTGTGAGGAGGAGATGGATTGTGAGAAGAACCAGCAACCAAATCAGCAACAGTATCAGCAGTAACTGGAAGAAAGAAAGCAACCAACAAAGCAACCAACAATATACTAAGTGTCAATATCAGCAACCAAATGAGGAAACAAATGAGCAAACTATCCATATTTAATAATTATTGTTTTGTTTATTATGAGTGAACAAATGAGCAAACTTCAATGATCARACTTCCCAGACTGCTTCMATTGGTCCAATCACTTGACCATCACCACCACTCAAGGTACTAGTATCAGCAGTTGTTACAGTTAGGTTGCTGTTAACAGTGGTGTCTGTCCTGCACGGTGAACCAACAAAATCAACATCCCCAGCATTGCTGTTGTCTTCCTCATCCTCATCTTTGATATCCCATAAGAATTTCATGTATTCAGTATTATCTTTCAACTCTTCAYTGCTTGGAGGCTTCCAATTTCTCCTGTCTTTAGTTGATTTGTCATTTCTTACTCTAGAGTAGTAATCATTTCTTCCAAGGCCAAACCCTTCATAATTGTGATAGTTGCTGTGACAGAACTTCCATTGGAATCCCTCTTCTTTGAATGAGCTTTGCTGCCGCAAAGTGGGACTCCACATAGCTTGTACAAGAAGCTGCTGTAAGTATTACTATCACAATTGTAACAAATGTTTCTGCTCCTGGACTTGGAAGGTGTTGTTGCAACCATATGTCTTTATACTCAGTCTGAGTGAAGCAAAATCTTCCATTGACCTGGTTCTCTGCAATGGTCTGCAAAGCTTCAAGTTCCTTTTAGTTTCATGCTTTGGTTGTTGGTACAAATCATAGTGTTTGCAATGTCCTTGTTGAATGAAAGATACTTAGAATCCCACCTAAACTTGATGTTTTCATTYGCTCCTTCACAAGCACCATGCATAAAAAGGATGCCATCAAACTGAATTGATTCAGGTTATTGAGAAGCCAAAAGGATGCTCTAGCGGCTTAGAACTAGTCAGCCAAAGTTACAGTAGTGGGTGGCAAAAATTCATGSGTTAATTCTAGCTGTAATTTTACCCTCAATTAACTCGTACTCGACGCACACATCCGTAACTCTCGTCACATTTTCGGAAGTAGTTGTCTTTCGATTGAATGTTTTTTCTCTTTCGCYRTGGTACTCCTCTTCCAATTCTTTCGACTGAATACCGCCTCTCCTCAGCTATTTAACCTTCCGCGTGATGAATCAACGCAACTCTATCTATCCTTGAAGATTTCTGTGTCGCTAGCTGGATGCTCACGATTTGTTCTACTTGCATTCGTTCTAGTGCTGGCATCTGAGAAAAGAGCTTCGTGGAAGTAGTGTTTGGTCACAATTCTAGCGGCATTTTTACCACGAGTAAATAGAGTTACCAACTTCTTCAGAATAACGTCCCGATCTACCTTAATCTCGCTTTGTGCCGCTGATATTACGTTGGTCGTTTCTCGTATGACAGCTTCAGCAGTATGAGATGTGCGAGACAAAACCTTTTTGTTTGGTTTCTTAAAGTGGTGGTAATACCATTCTGAGTCTTTTTCTTTAAAGCTACAAGTCAATTCCATTCTTGCATCGTATTCGTTCATCATTTCGCAAACCCATTCTTTGGGTAACTTGGCGACGTTTGCGGTGTGATCCGGAGGAAACATACGCCACTGTTTGCATCTGATACATTCGACCCAGTCATTATCTCTTGCCAGTGAATCAATCTCGTCCGTGCTAAAAAAACGATGTAACTCCTTTCCATCAATGACCCTGTTCCCAAGGCCGATCTTATTCACGGCTTTAGAGTAAACTCTCTCTTCCATTGATCCTTGTGTTAATAATCTGTAAGCAAAAACGCTCCTTTTCTGGCCATACCTGTAACAACGAGATATGGCTTGAAGGTCGATTGATGGATTAAAATGGCTATCGAACCTGCAAATACCAACGATCGAAACAATTCAACAACAATGGGCATTGTGAGACACRACCAAAATCATATGTAAGGAATCCAATCAGAATTCTTGTAACGAAAAGCCACTGACTTACAATACGACACGATTTGCTGCAACAATGTTTATGCCTATGCCGCCAGCTTCTGAGCTGATGAGAAATAACTTAATGCGTTTCTCCCAAGAAAAATCGTTCAAACGATCCCTCCTTTCTGTAGGGCTTGTTGTCCCATCAAGTCGAAGAAAGTCTTTACCCAAAACCCAACCYCCAATCTYCATGTCGGGGAACGATTCTTGTAACGATGGACATAATTCTTTCCAATTTTTCGAAGCCAGTGTTGTTGACAAAAAATCAAGTGTCTATGAAACAATAACATGAATTTTTGAAAGAGTCRGCACAGCWCAGCATCAACATCAGCATCATATTTCAGACTTCATGTGTTCCTGCTCTTCTAGCGTCGTGAATACGTACCTTCAAACTTTGGCTGAAAACAACTGTCTTTTCCCCCAATTCACTGGCATGCGACAAAATATGCAAAAGAACGATGCATTTGTTCCCGCTATAAACAACTGATTAGTACGAAGACTCAAAAGGGATAAACAATCGCTTTGCCTAAATTGTGTCACAGCTACGTACCTTTCTGGATTTTTCATGTTATGGATGCCAAACTTCATGGCAGTATTTGTCCACCAGCACTTATGAGAGACTTTAGTATCGCATCTGCTGTCGTCGTCATCTTCGTCGGAACTTAATAGAGAAGTTTCGGGCTTGCTGCCGCTGTTGGATATTCCTTTCTGATRCARTTTGATGTTGTGATATAGYRWATCCYTCTTCTTCGTCATGGATCTGATTCGTTTTTCATGCTGGGGCTGGGACAGAAGGGTYGCAGGATGATTGTGGACTGAACGCAGCGAAGAAAATTGCCGGAAGAAATTAGTATCGTCCGTGGCGCTTTTGTACTCGTTGTACGCCCGATAGAGACAWCGCTGTAGCTTKGTTGGTCTCAAATGCAGGCATACTTGTTGCAGAGGGGGGAGGTCTTTCGCTAGGAGAGTTGCATCTTTTCGATGAACATGAGGCTTCAACTTTTCGAATAGAAATTCAAGTCTTGAATCAGCCATAACTTTTGTATCTTCTGGTGCATCTCTTCCCATTCCGGCTTGGATTGGGTCGATCCATTCCTTTTGAAAGCTRGTTTCAGAGTTACCCAGGAGTTTTGGGCGAATAAAGGAAATCATTCGATAATATTCCATCAGATTATTCTGAAATGGTGTGCCGGTGAGACAAATTCTTCGTTTGGTATTTATCTTCATCAATGCCTTAAAAATTAGGCTGTCTGTATTCTTTAGCATTTTATGACTTAATTCAAAGAGGAAAAGTTCGTGAGAGGATCGCGATTTCAAAGAAGCATGCACATTCGATACAAGCCAACCGAACGATAGCAACAATACAAACTTACCCTTCATCTAGTACAATTGCATCAGAGTCAATAAGAAATTTTTCGATGATTTGATTCTGGGCCATGCTYCGAAACAAAGCATCGGAGACAAGCAGGACCCCCCCCTGATTTGACCATGCYTCRACGACCTTGTAACGGCCACTGATTGCTTCCGTWGATGCATTGAAAAGATTAGCTCTCTCCTGAATTTTACCCGTCCATTTCCAAAATTCGTTCTCCCAATTCATAATCGTGTTGACCGGAACGACTAACAATACTTTAAATATTCTWGCYCTTTGTGTCACCGAATCGATGAGCAACGGGTGCARCATGACTGTTTGCARAAGAGAAATGCAAGACAAAGATTTYCCTTTTCAATRGAATGTTACGTACAACAGAAATGTAGACCAAAAAAAGGAAGAATTTCCCATTGAATATCGATTTGAAAAAGGGAATAAAGACCACCTCAAGCATTGGCAGTGATATCAATACCAATTTCAACAACATAAGATGCTTACCAAGACCCATCGAGTGCGCGAGGATGCAACCCCCAATAGGAATAGAAACGTCGTCTCTTACGAGGTCTGCAAAAGAGTTTCGAAACATGAATTGGATCCCGTCTCTTTGGTGTTCCTTGAGGTGTCTCTCGATACGACCGTCGATGGAAATCGGGGGATCTTTTGACAAGACAAGAAGTGAAGGTCGAAGTCCACGCCTGTTTTTTAACCTTCCTGCGAATATAGAGACATGAGCTGTGCTCRTCGACTGGTCCCCACCCGACGTCGCATGTGACGGAGTAAAATATTTCTCGGTTTGTGGTGTACCAGTTGCGTGATGATTATTGCTGCTGGTTTCTTCTAAATCCAGTCTCGAATCGACCGACGACGATTCATATGGGATTTCGGTCATGGACGATTTCAACCCATTTTCCCATGCCCTGAATTCCCTTTCGTCGTCGCGTTTGCTGCATTCAATGACACGAACAGTAGTCCTTCCCTCCAGACGACGCCTGTCTTCTAGCTGCTTCGCCTTGGCTATTTCGAGCTTCGAGGCCCGGAAAGGGGCGTTTCGCCATCCGAGATCAAAAAAATCGGATTGTGAGTCTGATTCTCCAGAGAGACTGTCTTCATCCTCCGCCTCGCTGCTACTTCCAAGATCCTCGACCCAGTCTTCGGGTGACAGAACGTTAGACTCTGAGTCGAAACCGAATTTATGTCGGGTGTGCTTGCGGAAAAGCTCACGTTGCTCATCTTTCCAGGCACGATTTTCCTCCCGTTCCCGTTTAGTTATGGCTTTGTCTGCGGATACCTTCCATAATGGTTCCTCGCCCTCTTCTTCGTCCCGGGCCGTTMCTTCGGAAGAAAGATGTTTTTTGCTTTTCATCCATCGGTGAGCATCAAATCCATGATCAGACCGGAACTTGTCTCCCAGGATGGCGATCCGATCCAGCAACCGTCTTTGGTGGTAGATCCACTCAGTGTGCACGTCGAGGATGCGTTGTTCCAAAAATAGCACTTGCTCTCCATCGTTCCCTATTTCGGTAGAGAGCTCATTCCGTATGGTCCTCAAGAGTTCATCTTCTTCTTCAAGCTTGCGCTCACAGGATTTGAGCTCGAATTCAAGTTGCTYCATTTCCCCGAGTGCTTCATTGATGGGTTGCACTGCAATTTTTTTTCTGGAGTTCGTTGAAAAGAGCTCCCGGGTCCGTGTTTGCAGCTGTTGAAGAAAGGCCGGAAGATTACTGGTGCTGGTGCCCGCGTTGCACCTGTTGTAGCTTTCTTCATCGCCACATGGACAATAAAAGCACCGCCACTCTCCCGGTATCGGCTTCCCGWTACCGTTGCCATCCTGGTGATTTTTGTCAGCCTGACCTTCGCCACCAAGCGCCTGTTGGAAGCATTGCTGGCAAATCTCCCTTGAACAAATCCTACACACCAAAAAGTCATGTTCCCGCTTTTGGTCCAYCCCAAGCTCGTTACTCTGTAGYTTCCCACACGCACTGCAGGCGCATGCATACAAATCTGCCTTTTTCTTGGATTTCTCATTGCTGCTGAGCATGTCCATAGTACTCCTAATGGGGGGGTTGGCGATGCCTTGCTGTTGCTTCTGCTGGAAATTTCGCTCGACTTCCTCAACGTCTTCGCAACATACTACACAGACCGGCACGTCCATGAGGGGGTGCAGGTGGAGTGCCGAGAAGCATAGTCTGCTTTCATCCTTCGCGGCGAGCCAACGCCCGGGATGGTAGATCCACGTATGGCAGCCCCAGCAGTGCTGCTCTAGAAATTTGGAATTATTACAAAGCGGCAGCATTGTTTCTTCTTGGTCAATGCAAGCTTCAGTAGCAGTGACTTGTGAATCAGTGTGTGCGGCGTCCGGGACGAGCGAATCCGGTTCCGGATCTTGTTGCGGATTTGCGTTCGAAAGTGTCGTTACTCTGGTCATTTTTCTTCCCGGTGCAGCTGCAGCTGCCATTTCCGCTTGTTCGTCC